TGACAAAAAAAAAAAAAAAAAAAAAAAAAAAAAACACGCGGTCCTTACTTCCTTCCCTGTAGGTTATAGGGTGGTGGGTGTCTCAATGGTTTCACCCCTTCACATGCGCGAACGGGGTCTCCACTCATGTCGCTAACATAGTGTCACACCCCCCCAGGGGGGGTCCTAATGTTACTTGGTCTACATTCTTTACACAAGTACCGCTTCACACAGGGAGAGCAACTCCTACGTGCCGTGGCGACGATGTGGGGTAGAGACACACATTCTGCACTGCACACTAACACAAGGGATGCTCATTTTGAGGGAAAAGCGAATATCACCTAAACAATATCCCCGTACAGTCCTCGCAAACGCTTTTCTCCTTTTCGACAGCGTTGCCCTTGGGGGGGCGGTCAGGTGACACTCCACCCCCGCGTACGCACTTGGCCCATCACGTACCAGCGTCGTCACCCTGCTTCCCCTCAAAAGCATTTTTTGTAACAATGAGCTTTATCGCCGAGAAGTACCGCTTCCAAAACTCGTTTTCGCTAATGACCTTTGGAACCAGGTTGTATCGTATTCTCCGTAAATTTCGATTGTCCTTCAAAAGAGATTTGGCCCACATGACCAAGTCATCATCAAAGTGAAACGGATCAATGTACTCCACCTGGGTCATGTTAAAATATGTTTCTTCATCTGTCGTTATGTCTTTTATTTCTTCTATTGTTTTGTGGATGACCCCTAGGGTCATGTCTACGTTCACATCGTGGCTGCCCCACTGCACGATTTCATTCCACGGGAATTTCACTTGGAACTCTGTGAAGGGGTCACAAATGGGGGCGGCGCAGTGGCATGTTGTTTAATGGGCAACAGCACCACAGGCACCTAGCAGCACACACGTAAATATACACACGTGTATGGCTTTCTTTCTTTTTTTTTTTTTTCCCCTCCTTTTGTACTGCCCCACTCGTCGAACCTTTCTCAAATTGAAATTCACATAACTCATATTTTTTCCTCTTTCCGTGTTTATTCCCCATCATTCGAAGGATACTAGCACGCACGATAGGCGTAGCCTCTCTTCTGAGTATTTATTTTTTGATTGGGGCTCCTTCCCTACTACTTTTACAATTTAATGTACGCACGGTCTCTCCACTTCACCATTTGCACAGGAGGGAATAACCATGGTGAAAGCCAAAACAGGGTGGAAAAAAAAAGCAACCAACGGGGAAATGAAAAACCGATCACCTAACATCAAGGCGAACGATTGCGAACTATACAATACTTCATTTCGACAAAAAAAAAAAAAAAATAATAAATAAATAAATAGTGCAGGGAACAGCAAATAGCAATATATCTTAGCCAAAAAAAAAAAAAAAAAAAAAAAAAATGAGGAAATGCTAAAAAGGCGAAACCTTCTATTTTATTCCCATCGTATGCGCCCAACTTCTCATCACATTCCTAATTTAAATTAAAGTCATCATTTTAGTTTTCCTGTGTTACACCATAATATCCCCCGGCACGGATTAGTTTTTTTTTTTAAACTGCACAACTTATGTATGAGAACAGATCGATCGGAAAGAATATCGTGGAGGAACATATCCCATAGGCGTGACGGAGTAGGAGCGACGCATAGGGACTCCCGCTGGCTTACCCACGCTGCTTTACCAACCTGGCCTACAAACTACGCAACATAAGAACGCCTCCCCCACTACTCATCCCAAACATGATAGAATTCCTGCTTATGGTCAACAAGCAGGGGCAAACGAGGCTAAGCCAGTACTACAACAGCCTCAGCATCGAAGAAAAAACAATCCTGGAGGGGGAACTCATACGGAAATGCCTGTCGCGAGTGGACTATCAATGCTCCTTCCTACAGTACAGGCAGTACAAAATTATTTATAGAAGGTTAGCTGCTCTACATATGCAAAGAACTACCACAAGTGTACGAACTGTGGGAGTTTCGGCACGTGCAAGCAAAAAAGGAAAAAGTGCACAAAAGAGTAAACCGCCACCTATATAACTTTTCCAATATATGGTGACGCACTTGCCTCCACACCATTTGCACATACCCTCCCCCGCATCCCCCTTTTTTTTTGTTTCCTTACACCCACCAGATATGCCAGCCTCTACCTAATCGTCGGAGTGACAAACCAGGACGTAAACGAATTCGCCATACTCGAAATGATTCACAACATTATCGAAATTTTAGATAAGTACTACGAAAATGTATGCGAACTAGACATCATGTTTAACATTGACAAAACACATTTTATAATTGACGAAATCGTGTGCAACGGTGAAATATGCGACATGAACAAGTCCAATGTTCTCCGTCCAATTTTGCTAATGGACAAAGTCGCTCCAAAAATGTGAAATTAACAACCGAAACACGCTCATCACACATGAGTGAAGGGAACATCCCTGTCGCTCCCAACACAATGTTCACATCACCACGTAATAAAAAAAAAAAAAAATCAGTTAACCAATGAAATGGCTAACTAGCGGAAAAAAAAAAAAAAAAAAATATGAACAGGTTCAGGTGAAAATTTTTTGTTGTAAATGCACACAACACACATGTACAGCAAAAAATGTGTGCGCATACGGAAACATCATATACACAAAATTCTTTATATAAACACAAATAAGCTTAAACGAGTGGGACAAGGAATAACTGCTTATGACGAAGCTCACTGGAATAACTCTTCTATGTCGCCACTCACATAATGGGGACAATATTTGTGTGTCCTACTAATAGTGACGCATAAAAATTGCAAAAGTGCGAAGAACAGAAGGAGCTCAATTATGTTATTTTATTTTTTTTTTATCCTCTTTCCCCTAACAACGCAGGGAGGTATAAAACATGTATATGTTTTGTCACCCCATCACAGGTGATTTTTTTTTTTTTTAAAAACGTTTTAATGGAATGCGGGGACGTACAGATGAAGCAACGTCGAAACGGAGAAAAAAGTCAACCACATCCTTATGGGCACTACACCATCGACACTTCACACCTACCGCTTCTATACTTCCACTACAACGTGTAATTTTCAACAAAGTTGCATAGAATCCCGTTTTGGCAATATAGGCATGTGTGCATGTGAATCTTCAGAAGCAGGGCCTTGTTTCTTGCTATGGAAGCTTCGCCGTACATATATATAGGGAAAAAGTATTTGCGCATTTTATTTAGCTTGTTTTTAAATTTGCAGATATATATATTATTCTTCATTTGAATTTCGTTAATAACTGTGCAGTTTAATTTAATTTTTTGTTTTATTGTGTTGCTTTTTTGGTTCTTTGACTGATGCTCCTCTTTTCTCACTTTACAACTTTCTGCACATCTCGCCTTGTTGGTGCGTTTTTCCCCTATCTCCGAAACTTTTTTTTTATTTCGATTTAAGTTAATTTGTTCCGTTTCCTTTTGATTCATCTGTGCATGTGCAGAATGACGTGATGCTGCGACGGAGGTAGATTCTACACTAGCTACTTCCTTTGAATCGTTCTTTTTTGGGGACGATAATTTCATAGGGGTATTCTTTCGAGACGGGGAACGCCATGACTTGTGTTTTGCGTTATGAATGGTGCTATATTTTGGTGTACCCCTGTCTTCAGCGTTTAGCTTTGCGTCCTTCGCATTTTGCTCTGAATTCTTAGCGTTTAGCCTTGTGTCTTTACTCTTTAGCTTTGTGTTCTCAGAGGCTCCCTTCATGCCTTTTGCGATCGTCTTGACGACCTTAGCGTTCTCCTTTCCGTCCTTTTTGGCCTCCGCCCGTTTTGCCATTTCCCCTTCTCTCTTCCCAAGAACTGCTGCGCTTTCCACTACTTGAGCCCTCACGGTGAGACTGCATTTATCCTGAGCTCCGGCTGACCCCGTCCCCCAGGAATATTTCTTACTACCGCTTTTGGTGTCATTCCGCTTCTTAGCACTACTCTGCCTTTCACTTGAAGCGTTTTTTTCCTTTGAGTCGTTTATGCTACTCATTTGGACTTCGTTTCCCCCTTCTTCATTATTGTTGCTACATGTGGGGTTAATTACAGGACTAACATATTTTGTTATGTTTTCACTTTTTGTCATGCCCGTTGTGGGTTTTTCCCTAGCTAATTCATTCATTAACTGTGTGTGTGACTGTTACGTCGTGTTCTTTGACGCGTCCCCAGGGTGTAGCTTTTTTTGTGTTTTTTTCCTTCAGTTTAAGTTGAGTAATAGCTTTTCTATGATGAGCCTTTTTGTTTTTGTTTAATCCTTAGCATTCTTAACCTTACTCCTTTTCTACTGGCTCCTGTGAGCGGCTCAAATTTGCTACGGCTTGCCCCTTTTCTTAACCCAATTGGGCTCCCTGTTCACTCAAAAAACTAAACTCTGTACCGATGCTATCCTTCCCCAATCGTTTTTGCCACAGTGATTAGCTACGATTATTTCTTTAATTTGTTTCTTATTTATTATTTATTTTTTTTTTTTTTGAGGGCCCAGTTCAGTTGTTACGCGTTTTCTCTCCTCCTTTCGGTTTCGTATTCTGCTCGTCCACTTCCTTCGGTGAGGGTTAAATAGTTAGTACGCGTCGTGCCGTCCTTCGTTTGACACAGCCATGCGTGTGCGATGTGTTATATATTTGCTGCGCATTTGTTGTATATTTTGTTTTTTTTTCCCCATATTGGCGTTAAAATTTCTGAACCTTTTTGGCTGTTTACCTGCACAGGTCAGGTGCTAACCTTTTTTTTTTTTTTTTTTTTTTTTTCACAAATGTGTTAACACTTTGTATGCTTGGAGTTCATGCGGTTCGTCAGTTCGCATGAGGAAAACGCCAGACGGGTGCTACACCAGTTATGCATAAATTGTTCAAGAAGTATACGCAGGGTGTGACAAAAAATCGTCGATGGTTCACCCAACAAGGGTGCGCACGGAGTGAGCCCATTTACACCTATGGTGAGCTAGCTCCGTGAACGTAAATGATGGAAATATAAAGGAATAAAGCAAAATAGCATAACGAGAAAAAAAAAAAAAAAACAAATAGCAGATTACAGATAATGGATAACAAATCGTATCCGGCTCGTGAGACATATTTAAATACACACAATGCGCGTGAGTAATGGACGGGGAGGGGGGCTACCCTCTGCGTTTCTCAAAAATGTATATGCAATTTTTGAGAGCATCGTTGCTGCAGTTTTTTCGGAACAATGCACTGCTCTTTTCGTCATACGTGTAATTATAAGCGTTCAGAAAAAGGTCAAGAATTTCTTCTTCTTTCTTTTCATTTATCGTCCCTGTGTTGAAAGTATTCGGAATGTCCCACGATAAAATAATACCCCTGTTGTTTAGTCTGTCCAAATTTTTGAGGAAAATTTCTTCTTTCTTCTGCAGGAGGGAAAGGGTCGGTTTATGATGTGGCCGCGTGGTCATCGCTCAGCGCTGCAAAAATAGCTGAGCGTGCCAATCAGACATGTGATGTGGACGCATCTGTGCCTATGCATATACAAAACACCCCCACCCCTCTCCAAACTTACCTTGGGAATATACTCCCCCACGTTTAAGCACAATACGTAGTCAAAGTGGAGAACGCTCCTGCCAATTTCTGCGGCCTTTTTTATAGCTTTGTTCACGTCCAAGCATTTGTCCTCCTTCACATGCTGTTTCCTATTTGAGTTGTTCACTTTGTTTAGTATTTCCGCTACGAAGTATTCATTCGTGGCGTCCATTGGGAAGATGTCCTCTATGAGGGAAAAAAAAAAAAAAAACAACACTCCATGTGTGTATGCTCCACGGCGCTGAACGCTCACGCTGAACAGTCGCGGTTAACGATCACGCGTAACAAATAAACATACCATTTTTGAGCTGATTGACTAGCTTAGAATTGCCGTCAACGCCCACTGCCTTTATTTTGTGAAAGTTTAATTCGTTGACGTAGTGCCCGTACCCACAACCTACATCTATCACCGATTTTACTTCTGCAAAGGCGGGAAACCGTTAAGCATGTGTTGTGTGCGTGGGGGGTACACTCTAATGGAGCGGAGAAATGCCCCCTCCACAAAAGGATCGCTCTACTTACTCTTTTCTTTAAAATATTTTATCACTAAATTGGACAACATATAGTCAAAGGAATAATTCAGATTAGTCATCCAGTACCCATTTTCGTGAATTCCCCACTTTAATGTAAACCCTAAAAATCGCAGCGTTTCGCTCAGCAGCTTATGTTCATACTTTTTCACATAATACATATTTTTTCGCTACGGGATAGAGAAAAAAAGCTACGTAGAAAGGTGCCTCCTCCTTCCTGCCGGTGCATGCTTGGCACAACGTGATGGCTGGGCTGGAAGCACCGGGGGGGGAAAGCGGCAAATTTCGCATAAGTGTGCAGTCCACTCACGGAGGGGGGGTTACACAACGGTTATCCCCAATCTGGGAAACCTCACAAAAGGAACACTTAAAAAGACTCACACAACACAAAAAAAAAAAAAAAAAAA